TTTTCAGCATGAATTAAGAATACATCCTTGATGTCCTCTGATTATCTTGACATGTATTCCGTGGTCCTGCCAGGGTTTGTCTTTCTACCTTTTGCTTCATGTGTTACCATCCCAACACTTGCACTTTCAGTTCTGTGGGGTTGTGTTTTTCTCATTTGGGCTACTGATGAAATCCTTGAATAAGATCTGCTTAACGTGTCTGTTATCTTTCCACAGTCATCTGCCAGTCATGAGAGCCACATGATCAATCCATTTGTCTTTTTATTCCAAATTTGACTTTCTCTCTGACTATAGTCTTCTGTAATGAGTCACTTCTAAGACTTTAGAATTTTACTAATATTAATTTAAAATATAGCTGGGGAGGGGGAAGATCAGAAATTGGTATTTGGCACCAGCAAAATGACATTCTCTCCCATCTCCAATCAATCTGAATATCATAAAAGAATGACAGCTAGTGCTGGAGCTGTGGTGCAATGGGTAGAGCCACTGCCTGACATACTGGCACTACATAAGGGCTCTGGTTTGGGTTGCAGCTGCTCTGCTAGCGGTTCAGGCCCTGCTGGTACACCTGGGAGGGTGGCAGAAGATGGTTCAAGTGCCTGGGCCCCGCCACCCACATGGGAAACCTGGTCCAGCCCCGGCTGATGTGGTCAATTGGGGAATGAATCCACAGCTGGAGGATTTCTCGGTCTCTCCTCTTTCTGTAGCTCTGCCTTTCAAATGAATATATCTTTTTTAACATTTGTTTTTATTGGAAAGGCAGATTGATAGAGAGAAGGAGACACAGAAAGATCTTGCATCCACTGGTTCACTCCACAAATGGTCGAAATGGCTGGAGCTGAGTTGATCCGAAACCAGGAGCCACAAGCTACCTCCAGGTCTTCCACATGGGTCCAAGGTTCCAAGGCTTTAGCTCATCTTTCTCTGCTTTCTCAGGCCACAAGCAGAGTTTGATGGGAAGTAGAGCGCCCAGGACATGAACTGGTACCCATATGGGATCCTGATACTTACAAGGGAAGGATTAGCCAATTGAGCCATTGTGCCAGGCCTTCAAGTGAATAAATCTTTTTTAAAAGTAACTTATGATGCAGGTGACAGATTGAGCTGGACCCCAGCCTGTCTGGCACACACAGGAGTCAGGTCTGGAGCCGCCTCAGAAGAGGTCTCTCTGGGGATCCCCTCCCCACAACTGGAGAACTGGACTCAAAACTCTGACCACAGGGGAAATCACAGGACCTGTAGTCTGACCTTGGAATGCATGTATCAGAACTGGGCTTCCTCAGTTGCTGAAACCTGTGTAGTGGATGGCATGCCCAGATGCACATTGGGGACATGACAAATCATTGAAGCCTGCAGAGATGTCTCGTATCATGGAGGAGGGGATGGCAGAACAAACTGAACAACTCTCCTGGTCAAGCTTTGACAGCAAGCATCTGGGTGAATGGAGTTTTTAGGTGGACGACGTCAGCCAATGGACTTTGGAAGGATTTCATCAACCTTGGGGCAATGAAATCAGCTGTATCTCAGAATCATCAACACCACTTAAGCAGTAGCCTCAAAACATGCCCCACATTGGGAACCCTGGGATGACACTGAGTGTCCATTCCCCATCCCTGAGTGCTGATGCGGTCAGGCTGTTGGGAATGACCCCTTCCTTTCTTTCCCCCTTCTTCCAGACACAGGAAGAAAAAAAACTGTAAGCAATTATCTCATCCACTTTCCCCCATTCCTCAATCCTCCCCACCCTAACCAGTGGTCCACATGCCATATAGCCTTCTCAGTTGTGTAAACATTATCAAAAATAGAATAAGCTAATCATAAATGTAAATAACTTAATCCAGAAAAGATTAGAGAGGACATAATTTTGGAATTTAAAAACCCTGGAGGGCCCGGCATCATGGCCTAGCAGCTAAAGTCCTCGCCTTGCACATGCCAGAATCCCATATGGGCGCTGGTTCTAATCCCACTTCCCATCCAGCTCCCTGCCTGTGGCCTGGGAAAGCAGTTGAGGATGGCCCAAAGCCTTGGGAACCTGCACCCGTGTGGGAGACCTGGAAGAGCTCCTGGCTCCTGGCTTCGGATAAGCACAGCACTGGGTGTTGTGGTCACTTGGGGAGTGAATGATCAGATGGAAGATCTTCCTCTCTGTCTCTCCTCCTCTCTATATATCTGACTTTGCAATAAAAATAAGTAAATCTTAAAAAAAAATCCTGGAAAAGGGGGTATTTATTTTAAAAAAAAAGATTAATTTAGGGCCCGGCACATGATGGTAAACATGAGTATGTCACCTGAGTCATTGGACATTGTTTATTATTAATGAATAGCAGGATCATTTTCTATCTGGCTGTGAATTGCTCCTGCAGTTGTGGGCTTGACAGACTGGTAGTGGATCAGAGTGGAGAGAGGTATTCATCAGGATTTCATCACCCTTTTGGCAACAAAATCAGACTACATGTTTTGCACACATATTTTCGTGTCTATCCCAAGGAAGAAGTTAAATTTAGTACGCTTCCTGCTTGTCATTGAGCAGTAAAAGCACCTCCTGCATCTTGAGTCATAATCTTTTATGTCTGTGGAAAATCTCCTTTTAAATGGCTAGGTCCTTGAGAAGCCTGACAAATTTATGGCTTCAACCGTCACCATGAATTTGCAGAACTCATCAAGAGTGGCAGTGCACACACAGTGCTCTTTCTTAGCCCATCTAGGACTGTTTGTACATGGCGTGTGTGTGTGTGTGTGTGTGTGTGTGTCCCTGAGTTTGGGATTGGAGACTTCCCCCAGACTCTTCTTGTACCTGCTTCTGAGCAATGTGTTTACGTTGGGTTGGGCTTGGGAGGATCAGATCAGGGATGTGTAGCCTAAAGGATCCTGCAGCAAGCTAGATGAACTTTCAGAGGGAGAGAGTTCCTACTTCTCTGCACAAGTCTTCTGGGTCAAGTGTCAGAGGTAGCCTGGGGCCTACAGCTCAGGACAGCAGAATCTACTGGGGAATGTGCTGTTCCCCAGGAGCGCATTTCAGAGGGTCCGAATGAAACTTGCATGGTTATACTCCATTCTGGTTTACTCAAACTCTGGGGGGATACAGGTCAGGAATCCAGATTTTCAAAACAACCACCCTCGGTGAGCTTGGTGCAATGGCTCAATGACTAAACCCTCACCTTGCAAGTACCAGGATCCCATATGGGTGCCAGTTCGTGTCCTGGCTGCTCCACTTCCCTTCCAGCTCCCTGCTTATGGCCTGGAAAAGCAGTAAAGGATGGCCCAAAGCCTGGAGACCCTGCACTCATGTGGTAGACTTAGAAGCTCCTGGTTCTTGGTTTTGGATCATTTTAGCTCTGTCTGTTGTGGTCACTTGGGGAATGAACCAGTGAATGGAAGTCTTTCTGTTTCTCCCTCCTTTCTGTAAATTTTATCTACCTTTGCAATAAAAATAAATAAAGATTTAAAAAAGAAAAGAAATTCCTATCAGGATGTTTTGCTAGTGTGAGCAGGTTTGGTAACTGCTGCCTCTGCTTAGCCCTTCAAGAGGGTGTAGAACCACTCTGCCAATATTCAGTACCCTCTGTTATACCTCCTCCATATCTCTTGCATCTCTCTACTATCTCCTACCCAAGCCCACATACTAACTGTATCTCCAGCCCATTCTAGTGCAGCAGGTCTCAGTGCTGTGCAGGGATGCTAGCCCTCCTCCTCCAAGCAGCCAGGGAGTTTTATTCAGACCTAGGCTGGTCTCATCACACACTCCCACCCCACCCATACCCTCATTCTTATTACCTTTTAGGATAAACACACTTTACTCGTGGGGCCAGAAGGCATGTGTGAGCTGGTTCCTCCCAATCTCTTAGATTTGTTTCATGGCCACTCTGTACTAGCAGGATTTTGCTAGCATGGTCACTTCCACATTTACTCCTTCGTCTGCCTTCACTGCAAACTCAGCTGAGTGTAAACACAGAAGGAGACTTTCCCAGCCTCTTGTGGTTGGTACTTTTCAGTGGCAATTTTACATCTATTAACAATTAATTTGATTGTCTCTATAATAGGTAGATTGGCAGGTCTCATGAATGCAGGAACCAGGTAGATTGGTAGGTCTCATGAATGCAGGAACCATGTTTCTTTACTATTGCAGCCTAGTGCTTGGTGTATAGTGAGCTCTCAATACCTGTCTTCTCCATATGGCGAGCTTCAGTCAGTGGAGATGGGATCCTGGGGGCAGAGTTTTGTAGCAATCCTCAGGAGTTCCCTCCAGCTAGCCAGCTATTCATTCATCCATTCATCAGGACCTATGTGGTATTACGTAGGATTCTGGGGGCAGCCAGAGTCAGCCAACACAGAGCAGGCTTGGGTGGTAATGACCAGAACATTCATCCTATCTTTCCTCCCTTGACTTGATCAAAACAACTACTGAGCATTAACTGTGGACCTGTTATGCCCCCTTTTCTTAGGTAGCTTATGACCCAAGAGAGAACCGAACCTTCTGTCAGTAAGCAAAAGTGTGTAAATTTTGCAGAGGCGACTGTTTGAGTGTGCTATAAACGGCACATGGGGCCTGCATCTCGTCTGGAGGCTCATGGGATGGTTTCCCTGAAGAAAGTATTTCAGCTGGGATCCCCAGAAAAAGGAGCAGCTGGGCGAACAGGCTGTAGGCAGCAGTACTTGCATCTACCCAGCTGTATTTTGAGAGACAGTATTAATGGGATGTGAGGAGCGCACAGTTCTGACTTTTCTCTTGTGAATTGGGGCTTGGCCTGCTCCCACCATGGATCTCAACTTCTCATCCCTTGCAAGCAGGTTGGCTAAGATGGGATACTGGGCTGGGTCTGGGGATCGGGGCAGGGGCAAATATGGCATAAGTTGGGGAGGAGTATGCAAGCAGGCACTTCTTGGGGGCTCTGTTCTGGCCTCAACCATCGCTGGGCTGTTGTGAAGTCCATGTGCCATGGACTTGATGCAGACCACCTGGTACTCTATCAGAGCAGCAGAAACATGGTCATGACCAGCAGTTTTTACTCATTTCTTTATTAATATAGAAAAGGAGCCCTAGGCAGCTGGACCGGTGGCACAAAGCACCAGGGGTTAATACTATTCTGGTGAGGGGTAGGTTGGCTTTACAAAAGTGAAGGGGCACACAGGAGCTGTCCTGGATCTGGGACCAGGCCCAGCCTACTGCCCAGAATCTCAGAACAGCACCCAGAAATGGCCCTGGGAAAAGCGCCAATAGGTGTAGTTTGAGGGGAATGAGATGAACTGGAGACCATGGGAAAAGGTGGCAGGAGTTGATGGTCAGGCAGTGATCACCAACCTGTGGCTGATGAGGGCAGGGAACCGCTAGCTTGAGGCTCCCTGCTGGACCACGGGCAGGGCTCATGGTGGGCCTTAGCTCTGAGGGTAGGTAGAAAAATGCTGCAGACAGCAGTGGGCATGGAAAATCCAGACTTGGCCCTGGGATTGATGGGCGAAGGGCCTTTCCCCTCTCTACCCTGCCAGGAGCCACCTTTGTTCAATACTTCATGTGGGGCTCCAGGGCCCAAGGCACAGAGGGAGGCTAAGAGGCCTCCTAGTTGGGAGGAAGAAAGGCGGGGGCAGGGAGGAGGAAAGTAGTAGAGGGTCCCCAACGTAGGCAGCCAGGGCTGATAGGGCAGGAGAACAGCAGTCCTGAATAATGGGCTGGCATGTGGAGCAGGGGCTTGTCCTTGGCTGCTGACCCTGACCAGCCTGATGGCCCCATGACAATGGTGCCTGTATTGAAACTTAGCAGAAATCCAGGCTGCATAAGCACTGGGTGTCAGCAGATCTGGGTTCATGCCTGAGCTTTGCTGGAGCTTGAATCTCCCATGGAGCTGTATCATCATGGGCCAGCTATGTCCTGCCCTGGCCTGTTTCCTCATCTGCCAGTGAGGTCTTTTGGGTATGACCTCCTGTCTTCCAAAAGGGATTCTGCAGGTGAATGGTACTCCATCCTCTGCTCTTGGTAATTAAATGTGAACTGGTCCCAGCCGGAACCTGGATGGACCTGGCATGGGATCAGGGTGTGTGGAGTGACTGAGGAAGATGTTGTTGCATGGAACCTACTCCCCAAGAACATTCCAGAGCTAGGAAGGCTGCTAGGAAGGAAGGAAAGTCTACATTGGGAAGGAATGTGGCTCAGTATAATCACCCCTTCATAACCACCACCTGGGTAACATGTGGCATGGAGAGAATTGGGTGGTACTGGACAACCCTTTATCTGCTTCCCTGGTTGGGAGTGCAAGGCCTCTTGTGGCTTCTGGCTCCAGTCCTGGCGTGGGTCCGGAGAGCTCTGTTTTCACTGTGGTCCTGTCCTGAGGTCAGCCCCAAGACTCTGCCTGGCTGGCACATGTTAGTTGGAGAGGAAAGGAGAGAGGGGGTGAGTAAGCAGACAGGGAGGCTAGAGTGACTTTCTGGCTTTCTCCTCTTCCTCTGGAGAGAGCCGCTCAATCCACCGAGTCGCAGATCTCTTCCACCACAGCATTGAAGATGTGTGGCTGGTCAGCGTAGACATGGTGCGAGGCACCCTCGATTTCCTGTGGGGAGAGGCCCCGCAAGAGTGGAATGATCCTTTGTGGCTGGCACTAAGAAACTGTCACACCACTGCTTCCTTCCTGAGACCTACCTGCCTGTAACTCATAAGTCTACTTTTTTGCACAGATCTTGCTATTTCTGGGAGCCAATGAATCCCAGCATCCCACTTAACTTTTTCTGCATCTATTCGCAATGTCTTTCCTTCCACGTTAGCTCCACCACTGATCTGCTCTTTTCATCCAAAGGTTCAGTAAACTGGGACTGAGAACAGTATCCAGCCTACTGAAGCACCCTTTTTTGGCAAATGACAGTAGGGTGGGGTAAGAGGAAAGGGAAGGCAGAAGTTGTTGGTGGGGGAGGCTCTACTCTTCACTCTACCATTTATGGCTGTGATTTGGGGGAGGGATCCTAAGGGGCATGGAGAGGCAGCACATGCTTGGCTATTGAACAAAAACCTGAGTTTCAACTGAACTGGGCTGCACACAGCAAGAGGTTCCTTATTAAGGTGTTACAAAGAGAGCCTAATTTGACAAATCTACTGCTTGATCTCAGTCTGTGTGCTCCCGTTTCCCCTGTGGATTCTGGGAAAGCCTTCTTAACCTTGAGGCTGAGGGGTGATGGAGAATCAGTCAGCGTGTGCTGATGATCAGTTCATGGCCAGCATTCCCACCTCGGCTCCCACTCCCTCTGGGAGAACCCAACGTACCATGTCCCGGACGTAGGAATCTGGCCGCTGCATCTTCACCTTTTTGCCAGTGCTGGTGTCTATCCAGGTGTTGGCCCCATAGATCATGGTGATGGGCACATCTTTGCGGATCAAGTGAATTCGTTCTAGCATGGGGCGCCGGGCCCAGCCAAAGGACTCCATCATGGCTTTGAAGGCCGTTTCACCACTGGCAAAAGCAAGACAGGGTGAAGCTGTTAGAAGAACAAACCCCATGGTAAGAAATGCCAACTTCTACGTCTCTCTGGAGGCTGGGGCAGCATCTCAGTTGTTCTGTATTCTTCCAGAGGTCAGCACTAGACTCATTAAATACTGGTAATATCTGCAGAGGTCTCTCATTAGAGAAGACAGAGAGAAAGCTACATTTGTGGAAAACCCCATGGCCCTAAGAACCGTCCCTAATGTTCCTTAATGATTGTTGTGTTGGGGCTAGTGTCATGGCATACTAGGCGTTAAGTGCCTACCTGCAGTGTTGTCATGCTGTATGGGTGCTGGTTTGTGTCCTGGCTGTTCTACTTCCAATCAGGCTCCCTGCTTATGGTCTGGGAAAGCAGCAGAGGGTTGCCCAATGCTTTGGGCCCCTACACCCATGTGGGAGATCCAGATAAAGCCCCAGGCTCCTAGGTTTTGGATTAGCTCAGCTCTGACCATTGAGGCTATCTGGGCAGTGAGGCAGTGGATGGAAGAGCTCTTTCTCTCCTTTTTCAAATGGAAAAAAAAAATAGATTTGTGGGTCATAGACAGCATAAGAGGTTTCTTGCCCTCCAGCATTCACACTATAGTTAATACTTAGATCACGGAGGCATTAAATCACTAATCATATAATTAATGATTTACCCTTGAGGAAAGGATGGCAGAGTGCTCTGGGGACACAGGCTTAGCCCACTGTGGTTGAGGAGTTGACATGAGGTGAATTTTCAAAGGGAATTCCTTCAGTAGTGGAAAGGGCTTCCCAAGAAAACACTGGGACTACAAACCAGTCTTTGGAGGACGAGGGGAATGCAGTCTTTGCCTAGCAAGCAACAGATCCATCTTCCTCCTTGGTCAGGGTCTCAGGCAGAGACGACGGGCCGGAGCATGAGATGTACACAAGGCTAGGCCAGGAGCCAGCTTTCTGGGCTGCCTAGGAGCTTTCGTGGGAGGTGGGAGTCACTGCCACTTCCTGGGTTTGGCCTGTGGAGTGTAGTCACATCCCGTCTCCTGCACCTAGCTCTTGGCTCCCAGGACTAATTTTTCTCCCAATGGGGAGAACTGTACTCTCATGATGGGGAAAATGAAAATATACACTGAGTGTTCCTTGTCTGAAGTTCCTGGGAACCAGAAGTGTCTTAGGATTTTGTTTTCAGCTTTGGGGGTCTTGTCTTTAGAATATTGGGATCTTGGAGATGGGCCAAAGTCTAAAAAGAAAATTTATGTTTCACCTATACTTTGTAGAGATAGCCTGGAAGATAATTTATATTTTATATCTATATCTATCTATATATATATATATATAGTGTGTGTGTGTATGTGTGTGCTTGGGTTTCACTGAGAACCATTGCACGAAGTCAGGTGTGGAATTTTAAAACTTCAACATCACTCTGTGGTCAAAAAGTTTTGGATTCTGAAGCATTTTGGATTAGGGATGCTCAATTTGCAAAAACAAAGCCACTGTAGATAAGGCCAGTAGGTGCTCCTCAAATGTTTCCCTTAGACCCATTTCATTTGTCTCAAAGGAATGGCAAGCATCACCATGGACTTATCAGAGAGTCACAGTTCAACAATCAGGCACTTACAACACTGAGTGATGGTGCTTGGGGACAAGGTGTATGGTTACTACTGGAGTTATCCCTGTACGTGATGTAGCAAGATGACTTGTTCTCTGGCTTAGACTGGAAGGTCATTTTGTAGAACAACCCTGAGCTGGGGTATTCCAAGGCTGGACTTGAGGGATCTTAGACTGGCACTGAACTTATGAGGCTGGCAGGCACTGGGAGAGCAGGGATCGTGGGGGATCTGCTTTGACTTGAGCTGAGAAGTCCATTCCATTGCATCACTGGGGATTTCCACTAGCTGTATTCACATGGGACGCTGGACAGACAGCTCCCACGCTGCCCCCAGAAGCTTCTGGGTGTGGGCTAATACGTTCCCATCTTCTTCACTGCTTTGGGTTCACAACAGAAGGCTTGGACAGACTTTGAAAGAGGTGGGGCGGTGACCTTGGCTCTGCTGAAATGCCACTCAGCAGTGTGGAATGAGGCCTCCATAGAGGCGGCACCACTAACGCAGCCGCATGGTATCAGTTGTTCACAGGGCCCTGCCACAGGGCACGGTGACCTCACTGGCTCTTCCCTAGCCGTATACATTGCCAAGGCTTCAGGTCGGCCAGGCCTGCTGCGTAAGTGAGCAGCCACAGATAAGAACCTTTGGGTATGCTCCCAAGTCTCCAGGGGATGTGAAGTTTTAGTTCCAAAGTAAGCAATTTCAGAGTACATGGAAAAACATGCAAGGAGCTTCCCGAAGCAGAGCACAAAGCATTTTAAATTGGAAATACTAAGGAAAATTTAGAAACTACAGGATCAGACCTGCAGTTTGTTTTTCTCCTTAATAAAAGGCAAAAACCAAAACAAAACATGTTTACATCAATTTTTAATTAAAAAAATCAGTTTGAACATTTTCCAGACTTGCCCATCAAACCAACTGCCTATCTCTAGGGAAGGGAGAAAAACTTCCTCCTGTAGACAGGCAGAATGTTTAATTAAGTGATTATCTTCTACATTCTTTTTATGCCTGTCCTCTGGGGAACTCTCTGGAAATGATCAAACCTGTTGGTGCCCTGCTCCCGCTCCCTGAGTCAGAGTGCTATGGAAGAAGAAATTAAGCACAGAATTCCTACAGCTGGAGCTCTCTCTCCAAGCCAGCCACCCGTACTGGCCCTCTGAGCTGGCCCCCGAGCTGCGCTCACCTGGGGTTCTGTGCGTTGCAGTGGTAGATGTACTCTGATATGGTGTCATCTTCAAAGAAGTCTGCAAACTTGCGCTTGAAGTCAGGCCGGAACCGCTGCACCAAGCCGGGCCCTGGGAGGGGCCAGAACAACACTTGAGTGGCCAGTTTGGGATGGAGGGATAAACCTCCTCCCTGTGCATTTTGTAGCCACTTTAACCAATGCTCTTTATCCTAAGGGGTTTTGTTTGGGCAGTGGCAGAAAAAGTACGGCAATCCCATTGGCAAACTCCAGGTGACTTCAGATGACACCGCTAGTTGTCATGGAATTTTGAGGCAGTCTGACAGCATGGAGGAAACAGGTTATTAAGCTCCAGGGAGTTCCCAAATCTTTTCCCTTAAGGATCACAAGTCCCACTAGAATCGATAGTTGAGGCTAGAATCGATAGTTGGGATGCTTTTCCTCATAGCCTGAGCTATCTCTCTCTCTAAGACTTTTAGAGCCTATGGCCTCTTCTGAAGGTAGCAGCTGAAATTAGAACACCTCCCAAGAGCCTTCTCATCTTCAGGCCTGTAACAGGATACATGGCAGGGCGAACTTGAAAACACTAGTGTCTCCAGCTCTGGGCAAGCTGTTTTAGAACAATTGGTTCCTTTCACCTTCCTTTATGGCACACAATTCAGAAGGCACCCAAAAGAGACTAAACAAACAAACAAAACACAAACAACAAAACTGAGCCTAGCAGTCACTTTCCATCTCTCTCTCTCTCCTGGTTTTTTTCCCTGCTTGTGAGAAGCAGAGGGGTGAGAGGGAGGTGGTACTTGGCTGGGAGATGCAGCGAGGCCCCTGTCCTCCCTCATGGCATAGTTTCCCCCAAGGCTGCCAGCCAACCATCTCAGCTTTGATGTCCATGTGTGAACCTGGCCAGATACAAGGCCAGAGAGGGAAGGGGAATTAGAGCAAGACCCCTTAAGGGCAGGACTTTGGTGCACCCACCGGAGTCCATGGTCCTGGGAAGCTAAGGAAAGCTCAGTCTTCTACTCACTCACTCACTCTTGACACCTGCATCTCTTGCTTTCCTTCCTCCCAGAATGCCTTCACTCTTCCTTTGACTCGTTTCTCCCCTTTATCTAGGAACCATTCTATTTCTCTTGAGGGACCTAGATAACTCTCATTTAGCCATTTACCTCATACTACTACTACCGATAATAGCAGGCTGTTGAACATTACTATAAAAACATGGGCTATCCATGTAAGATAGCAGTCAGCACTATTTTCATTTTTTTCTTTTTTTTTTTTTAAAGATTTATTTATTTATTGGAAAGTCAGATATACAGAGAGGAGGAGAGACAGAGAGAAGATTTCCCGTCCAATGATTTACTCCCTAAGTGAGCACAACAGCCAATGCTATGCTGATCTGAAGCCAGGATCCAGGAACTTCTTCTGGGTATCCCACATGGGTGTAGGGTCCCAAAGCTTTGGGCTGTCCTTCACTGCTTTCCCAGGCCACAGGCAGGGAGCTGGATGGGAAGTGGAGCTGCCGGGATTAGAACCGGCACCCATATGGGATCCTGGGGTGTTGAAGACGAGGACCTTAGCTGCTAGGCCACGCTGCCAGGCCCAGCACTATTTTCCATAAAGGGATTTTACTCTTTAGTTCACTGTAGTGAAGATTCCCAGAAGGGAAGGGTATAGACAGTGTGTGCAGTCAGAAGGTCAAAAGATGCTGATACTGTTCATGAGGGCTGGCTCTCCCCCTCCATTTCCTTCCTTCTCTTTTACCTACAGAGTATGCTGATGGTTACTAAGTGCTAGGAGTCCCACAGTAGATAAGACAAGGTGCTTCTCTGGAGCAGGGCATAGTTCAGAAAAGTTTTCTTGCCAACCTGTGTTAGGTTGGAGGTTCTGGTTTTGGCCCCTCCCTGTTGCAGATACTGGGTGAGTCATAAGGATGGAAACCAGTGGAGGTTACGGAGTTGGAATCATAGGTCATAAAAACCTGTACGGGTGGCAGAGTAAGAGTCACTTCACAGTCCCTTCTCTCTCTTGAGGTCCAGGACATGGGGATTCTGTTCTACTTTTGTTTCCTTGCACAGGAAAGCTTTTCCCAAGCAAATGACAGCATATAAAAAAACCCTCCAAAACTTCCAAGAGACCTGGTCCGGGGTAATAGCTTTAGGTAGTATTGTTAGGCTCATTTGTCTAAGTGAATGAGTGTAAGTAAGTGTAAGTGAGGATGGGATGGTGGGAATTGGGATGCAGTGGGGGTTGGCTGAATAGGACAGCCTTGGTTTAAGCATTTTCTTCATTTGCAGGCTACTCACCCCAGGGCCCAGCTACTCGAAGAACAGCCAGCGGATTGGAACGTCCCAGGACAGAGGCCACGGCCTTGACCCAGGTTGGGGGTGTGCGGATCTCACTGGGGTCAGTTGGTCGAAGAGGGAAGCCCCATGGGTCCACCAGGATGAGGTGCTTAACTCTACATTAGACAAGGAAAGAGGGAAAGACAGGGTATTCACCTGGAGGTTCCACAGTCCTTCCATTGAGTGGGAAGGAGAGAACTACAGAAGTGAATACTGGAAAGTTCCCAGCAGACCCGCAGGGTAAGTCACAAGGGAAGAGGGTGGCTGCTCAATACCTTTCAGGATACTTGATGGAATAGGAGGTGGCCAGGAACCCCCCCAAGCTGTGCCCCAGGAGGATCATGCTGGGGATGCCCATGGTCTCCCGCCACGTCTCTATGGAGGCCACAAATTCATCCTCGGCTCCCTCTGGGTCCCTGGGGAATGTGGGCCTCGAACTTCTCCCAAAGCCAAGTAGGTCGAAGGTGTGCAGGGTACGGCGGGTACTCAGCGAATCCATGTTGAGGATCCAAAGGCCCACGCCACCCCCAAAGCCATGCACCATCACCAGGGGGGTACGGTCCTTCTGTTCGGGGCTCACAGTCACCGTCCAGATCTTGTTCTGGTTCGGGAGGGACACATATCGGGCCAGGAACTTGTTCTGGAGACCTGGGGTGGAGAGAATCCGAGGGTGAGTCAACAAGACGGCTGCCAGTGTCACTGGTTTCTGAGTTCCTTCTGCATTTCGCCAAGTTCTCCCCTCCTCCCTTGGCTCTGCAGCCCTCTGACCCCTGACAAAGACTCCCCTTGACCAGACATTCAGTAAACTCCTCTGAGCTCTCTTCTTGTCTAGGCCTCAGTGTTGATCACCCTCCTGTCGTCAACCTACTCAGCCTAGTCTTAGCAAAAATCCCCTCATTCTTTTTTTTTTAAAATTGGAATGTCAGATATACAGAGAAGGAGAGACAGAGAGGAAGATCTTCCATCTGTTGATTCACTCCCCAAGTGGCTGCAACAGCTGGAGCTGGGCCAATCCAAAGCCATTTGGCGAAATGCAGAAGGAACTCAGAAACCAGTGACGCTGGCAGCAGTCTTGTTCAAGTCCCAACTGCTCCTCTTCTGATCCAGCTCCCTACTAATGTGCCTGAGAATGTAGCAGAGGGTAGCCCAGGTGTTTGGGCCCCTGCCACCCAGATGGGCTTTAGCCTGGCCCAGCGCTGGCCATTGTCGTCATTTGGAGAGTCAACTGACAACGAAAAGACCTCTCTCTGTTCTCTGCCTATCTGCAACTGTGCCTTTCAAAGAAATACTTTCTTTTTAAAACACTGTGACATCCTGTATGACTGCCCTCCTCCTACCACAGGAATCAGCGTGCTCACTGTGCTCAACCCTCGGCAGGTCCTGTGTCCTTCTGGAGCCTCACAAGGAATGCAGGGCAAACAGTGCCTACTTACACTGGAGGATCCTGGCTTCCACATTCTTCAGCTGTGACATGGAAGTGGGGCGCCAAGCGGGCAGCCAGCTGCTCAGCCAGCCTTGAGGCCTGGGGGCAGGAAGACAGAGACACTCATTAGTGACAGTGTTTGGGCAACACTGGCGCTCAGCCTCGTTGCTGGATACAAGAGCATTATGAGGATGCAGGGTGTTTCCCAGCCTCGGGAGTCCTGCCCCAGATTCTGTTCTTCTCTGACAAACAGCTGTTACAACAATGCATCCTCTTCCAGCAGATACCCAGAACAGCATGTACAGCCCTTCAGAGCTTACAAAGTTCTCTCTCATCTATTATCTCATTTAGCTTCAGAACATCCCTATATTATAGTTATCATAAGTTACATTCATGGAGATGATAAGGGAAAGAAAAGCAACCTTGAATTACTGTTGCGGTTATCTGTGACCATGACCATTCTCTGGACTAGCTTTTTTTTTTTTTTTTTTTCTTTTTTAGCATGGGACAGACAAGCCCATGCCGCCTGCTCTCCTGGCAGGGCAGTGGCATTTGTGTGCAGCCTCCTTCATGCATTATGATGGTGCCCAAGAGAACGCTGATAACTAATCAGTCCTGTTCTGAACCTGGAGTTGGACAGGCAGGTCCAAGGTCTGCTGTGGTTCACTGGCTTTGTAAAGTGGATAGAAAGCTTGCCTATTCCTCCCATGGCTCGGTTCTGCTTTCTCCTCCTTATCCCAGTGACTTGAAGTCATTACAGGGGTGAGGTTATAAGCATTGGATCTTGGTGGTGGTAGTGGTGGCGGTGGAGTGTGGGGACTTCCACCAGAAGCCTTCTGGATGCACAGAGAGGCTATGCCCCATTACATGACCTTCGCTTGAGTGCCTAGTCATGTAAGGAACCTCATAAGACACCTGGCAGAAGTCAGATAGTTAATGAGTGGCAGATTGTATAATTCCTCTTCCATTCCCTGTGACATTTCTTCTTCCTTCAACTCTACCAGCATGAAGTGGGTTACAGAAGGGGCACCACCAGCTATGGATGGCCCAAGCAGGGGACCAGAGGCACCATGACCAACCTCCTGGCACATGCTAGATGTTCCGGGATAGTATTTGAAGCACAGAGGTAGACTAAGATGGCTCCTTAGGAGGCCTGCTGCCCAGCCTTTTGATTTTACAGATGACTAAACTGACATCCAGGGAGATCACACCGCAGCTTAGAAAAAGCAAACTTGGCCGCGGCGCAATAGTGCAGTGGCTACAGTCCTTGCCTTTAACACGCCAGGATCCCATATGGCACCGGTTCTAATCCATGCAGCCCTGCTTTCCATCCAGCTCCCTGCTTGTGACCTAGGAAAGGACGGCCCAAGGCTTTGGGACCCTGCGCCTGGGTGGGAGTCTCTGAAGAAGCTCCTGGCTTCAGATTGGCTCAGCTCTAGCCATTGTGGTTGCTTGGAAAGTGAACCATTGGATGGAGGATCTTTCTGTCTGTTTCTCCTCCTCTCTGTATATCTATCTGCCTTTTCAATAAAAATAAACAAATCCTAAAAAGAAAGAAAGAAAGAAAGAAAGTAAAAGCGGACTGGCACCCAGATCTCAACTTTGTGTTTCTCAGATCCTACTTGCTGAACCTTGAAGCCTGGGCTTCCATGGCCATTCGGGGATGTGTAACCACATATTCACATCTGGCCCTGTCTTCTGAAGGCACAGATATCATCCTAGTACCACCACTCATTGGAAGCATGATTCTGGGCATATTATCTAGCTTTTCTGTGTCAGAGTTTCCTTATCTTTAAGGGGAAGTAATAATGATTTACATCCTATAAAAGAGTTACAAGGATTAACTGAGTCAATGTATGTAACGCATGCAGAATAATGCTCAGCCCAAGATAAACTTCTAATGAGTGTCCGCCCCCTCCTCTCTACCACTCCTCCAAGCCCCCACATCATAAACTGCCTGTGTTCAAGTGTTTTCCAAGTAGCACCCTCAGTGGATGTCTGGAGTTTAGGAAGAAAAGCTGAGGTTGGTGCTGAGAGGGGTCCTCGATGGGTCCAGCTGGAGCTGAGCTAGCTGTCTCCATGAGTCTGACTGTGGAGCCTCAGACCCCGTCACTAATTCTACTGGGAGTCTTGGTGACCTTAATGCAGGAAGACCAAGGCCACACAAGGTGCCAGTCTTGAAGACTGATCAACTTTGTCTCCCTGTCATAGAGCTTGTGACATCCCTTCTGGATGCCATAATTGCCCTGTAACTGCCCAGGGCAGAGCGAAGGAAAGGTGCTGTGAACTGGCTGCTCAGCAAATACTCCCTGGCCAGACGGAGGGGAGGAGGGGGGTTTGGTGTGGCTTTTGAAGGCTTTCACAGGTGGGCGGAGTTTGCATAGGACCGGGAAGATGTGGTGTCGATCTGGCATGTCACCAGAGGAGCCTTGGTGGACCAATGACCAGCTGGGGCTGACATTTGCTCTCCTAATAAGGACCAGAGCGGGCACCCATGTGAGGAGGGGTATAAAAGCCTCCTGCACACTTTTTTGCATGCCTTTTCGTCCTCGTGGCTACCAGTGTTCTCTCTGCCTCTCTGTTGTGTTGAGAAAAGGCCCGAGAACAGTCATCCCCCTGAATAAATGCCTCTTGTCAACAATCCGCCAAGGCTTTTTTCTTTTCCTGGTGGTCGGCAAACTTTACAGCTTTGACTGTGCCTTTCCTCTCCATCAGAAAGTAAAGACAAAGCAATGGAAATTATACTGGGTGGGGCTGGCGTGATGGCTCAACCCGCTAATCCTCTGCCTGCAAACACCAGCATCCCATATGGGGCACCAGTTCGTATCCCGGTTGCTTCATTTCCCATCCAGCTTCCTGGGAAAGCAGTGGAGAATATTCCAAAGCCTTGGGACCCTACACCTGTGTGGGAGACCCAGAAGAAGCTCCTGGCTTTAATTAAGCTCAGTTTCAGCAGTTGCAGCCATCTGGGGAGTGAACCAGCAGATGGAAGAACTTTCTGTTTCTCCTTCTCTCTGTAAATCTGCCTTTCTAATAAAAACAAATGAATTTTTAAATTGAAAAAACACAAATAAGTGGCGTAATGAGTCTCCTTAATACTATCAGGGAGGGAAGAGCTGGGGTGGGAAAAACTGAGGCAAAGAGCGGAGCAATCACTTCCACGAACTCAGCCTGACCAGGATGGGCTCTGACATGCTGATGGGGGTGAAGTACAAGGAGCTGGCAGAGGATCTAGGTCTCTGTGACCTTGGGCAAGTCGGCAAGTCTCCTAGTTCCCGTGGGCACTGGCCTCTTCATTTGTAAAAAAAAAAAAAAAAAAAATCAAGCTAAGCCAGCTACATTTCTTCTAGCTCCAATGTTCTGCTTCCTGAAGTCTTTTTAGGCATCGCAAAGTTCCTCTAGGGTAAAGTTCTTTTGGAAATCGGCACTGTCCTGGGCAGTCCTGCAAGCCCTGGAGGACTATTAATTATGGTCATAAACTTAATGAGTTTCTCAGACAGTCAGTTGTGCAGGTCTGAGAAAGGGACTGGATCCAGGGAAGGCCGGGTTCCGGAAAACCCAGGCTTGCCTGGGAGCTGAGTCATTCTCCTGGGAACAACTTTTCTTGGCCCCTAGCACGTTGCCACCTGCTAGTCACACCACCTACAGGTGGGAGCGGATCCCAAGCCCGGTGTTCACAAACTCCAGCCAATAATAGCTCTACTTCTGAGGCCCCCCTCATTAAGGATGTTAAGACGACTGAAAGCATCGCTAACTAGGATCGCTAGCAGCCAGGCGTTTCAGTGGGGCCAGAGTGCCGACCGCAGGAAACTTGCGAGCCGTTAGTTCACACAACCCCAGCCCCCGCAGCTCTCTTCTTCCCATGCTTTGCCCTTGCCAGAACAGCCGGCTACCCAGCCGGGCAAGTCCAGACCTGCGGCCCGACGCTGCTACCCACCCTACCCCCACCCCCGTCCCACCTGCATCCCAAGGGCTTTGCTTATGGAGGGAAGGGGTGTTTTCACGCATTGCCACTACACCTGTCCCTCTATCCGCCCCCCTCCGCTCCGCCCGAACCAAGCACAGCGACTAGAGGAGAAAGGACAGTCGCGAAGACGCCCCGGCTGTACGCAAGCGCATCCACCATCTGGCCCCCGCAGGCTCTGGGCAGAAGCAAAGCGAGCCAAGGCCACCTCCAGCCCTCCCCCGCGGGAGGCCGACCTGAGAAAGGCAAGGCGGAAAGGTGACTGAAGCTGTTCCTCAGCCACAGACAGTCCCAGGATCGTGGGCTCAGAGAGACAGACAGAGAGAGAAAGGGACGGGATGAACTCACTGCTGCTCCAGATCATCAGCCATAGTAAACAAGTCCCGCCGGGTCGAGCCGAGCCAGCCCATCCCTTCGCCTGACGCCGCACCAGCTGACCCAGGCGGGCTCGGCTCACAGAGGGGGCGTGGCCGGCGAGGGGCGTGGCCCGGACGCTGGGACCGCCCCCTTCCCTGCTTCCCCCGCCGGGCGCGTGGTGTCCCCGCGTATTGGCTGCAATGGTCCGTGCCCTCTTGTATAACTGGCGGAGCGTGTTTTCTAGGAGGTGAAGAGGGTCTCACAAAACTAGGACTGCAAGCCTGGTCACACGTTTGGGGGACAACGGGGAAGATCAGTAGTTCTTGCCCCTGCTTCCAGCTAGCGCTCCTTTCTTTCACAGTGAAAAAGTGACACTTTCAGTCTGATACCTCCGCTGAGCAGCCTCACAGGAGATCCCGGACCTAGTCCCCACTTCCGAGCTTCAGCCTGGCCAGCCCTGTGCCTTGTAGGTGAACCAGCAGATGGGAGCTGTGACAATTCCCCAAGAGCAACAGAAACGTGTTAGAACTGAACTGTCCCAGCCTGCTCACACATCCAGCCTCAGGCTTCCTTTTAAAACTCCCTCCTCCTCAGGACCATGGCATGCATTCTAGTGGGGATGCTGAAAGAGAATCTGAGGCAGTTCCGCTGAAGGACCTGGACTGGGGAGGAGAGAGGTTGTTTCCCAGGTAAGAGTGCCAGTCTGGAGCACAGAGGGCAGAATGCCTAGTCACACTAGAATGTGATAAACAAGGGTTTTTTGTTTGTTTCTTAGTAAGTATGTGCCACACAGTATTTGGAACATAACTGGGCACCCTGTTTTATCTGCAACCCTAAACTTAGGTGGCATCTGAGAAAATGACATGCCATTGTGCTCTCGGAGTGAACTGTGTGTTCCTCTATTCCATTACTTTCCAGAAGAAATGTTAGAAATATAGGGACACCCACACCTGGTGCAATGGCTTGATCGCCTAATCCTCCCCCTTCAAGTACTGAGATTTCCCCATGGGTGCAGGTTCGTATCCTGTCTGCTCCACTTCCCATCCAGCTCCCTATTTGTGGTCTGTGAAAGCAGTAGAGGATGGCCCAAAGCCTTGGGACCCTGCACAGGAGATCCAGAAGAGGCTCCTAGTTCCTGCCTTCAGCTCTGACTATAGCAGCCACTTGGGGAGTGAATAAGCGGATGGAAGCTATTTCTTTCTTCTCTGTGGATCTGCCTTTTCAATAAATATTTTAAAAAGAAAAAAGAAATGTAGGGATACCTAAGTGTGTCCCTCTATTGGGAGGATTCCTCTTGGGACCCTTCCCTTCCTAGGAGGGGCTGTGGAAGAAGCTGGTTCTGCTTTAGACATGTAGGGAGGGGCCTTGGAAGCTGAGGTGGCTGGCCTAGCTCGGGTCCCCCAGCACCCTTTCAGCATGTTTGGTCAAGGAGCCAAATTTTGAGGCTGGCTGCATAATTTACTGGAATGGTAGGCACAGCCTGGTGTTCCTGGTGTTCAGCAAGTTGTTCAAGTCGGGTGAGGTGGAGACTGGCCTGGGAGGAGGCAGCTGTGGAGGGCTTTACCTCTGCCTTTTTTGTCACCTCTCTTGCAGATTTCTTCTTTCTTGTGATATCCTTGCTAATCTGGTCATTAGGAGGATTTCAAGTTTGAGAGAACTGGCAATCATGCAGTTTGGGAGCCTAGAAATTTGCAAGATGTGGGGCAAAGTCGGACAGATAGCAGAGAACCTATCTCACTGCATATGGTGGTACAAAACTTCAGTGTGCATAAGAATCTTCTGGAGCGCTTGTCAAGTCAGATTCCAGTTCCTATCTGTTGCACTTCTAATTCAGAGGGTCTGGTACCATGCTAGGAAGCTGATTTTTTTTTTTTAAGGAAGCATTGCAGATGCTGGTGCTTGATGTGACTCAGTTGACTTGAAGCAGTCTAGGGTCACAGTCTGGGTTATGGCTTTACTGCTTAGCCAGTGCATGCCCTTGGGCAAGTTACTTAGTACCTTTTTGTTTCTTTTTCTTCCTTCTGTCTTATAATGAGAATTAACCAAGATAATACAAATAAATACTTGGTATGCTAACCGGTTACTTATTGCTCCTCTTATGCAAATCCAAGCATTATATTAGGTACTAAGAACGCAGTTATCAATAAGGTAAGATATACCTTGTTCTAGTGGTAAACATACTTAATGTTGCCACTCCAGGTTGTTCTTGATTTTGTAGAGCTGGCAACAGACAATGAGCAAAGTGTGACTCTTAAACTAAACATAGGCTCTGGGTCTGGCATGATAGCCTAGTGGCTAAACTCTTTGCCTTGCATGTGCCAGGATCCCATATGTGCGCCGGTTCGTGTACTGGCTGCTCCACTCCTCATCCAGGTCCCTGGCTTGTGGCTTGGAAAAGAAGTGGAAGACAGCCCAAAGCCTTGGGACCCTGCACCCACGTGGAATACCTGGAAGAAGTTCCTGGTAAGAAGCTCCAGGTGGGGAGACTGGGAAGAGGTTCCTGGCTCCTGGTTCCGAAGCTCTTTCTGTGTCTCCTCCCTGTAATCATTGCCTTTCCAATAAAACTAAATCTTTTAAAAAATTTTTTTTAAAGACATAGGTACTGAATAGAATAACTCTATAGAGTGCCCTGTCCAAAAATAGCTACTAGTCATATGTGGCTACTTAAGATTTAAATGAATAAAAATCAATAAACTTTCTTTAGCGACACTGAATCTGTTTTTGGTGCCTGTAGCACATGTGGCTGGATGGGACAGACATTTTCATCATTGGAGAAAATTCCATTGGGTTGAGTTCACCAGGCACTGATAATTTCAGCTCTGTGTCTTAGGGAGTATTCTGCCCTTGGAAAGGATGACATGACAGGCTTTCTCATGAGCCGGAGGGGACAGCACTAAGGTTAGAAGAGAGGAAAAAGTTAGAAGGAGGCTGCCAAGCTGTTTTCTCCATCAGGGTCTGGCAGGAGGAAGGGGTAGTGGCTCACTGAAGACACCTGCCTCTTTCTGACACTTGGAACTGTAATTCGATAATTTAGAAATTTGACTTTGCTCTGTTTGCAATTTGAGTTCCCTTCTGAAAATAATCATTGGTTTGTTCTATTAGAAAACAAGGAAAGGGGAGTTTGGCACACCGGGGCCAAAGTTAAAAAGGTAGGAATGGCATCATGGCACAGGATGTTAAATTGTTACCTGAAGTACTGGCAACACATATTGGCACCAGTTTGGGTCTCAGCTGCTGCACTTCTGACGCAGCTCCTTGTTAATGGGGCCAGGGAAGGCAATGAAGGAAGGCCCGTGTGTTTGGGTCCCTTTGTGGGAATTCTATTTGGGAGTCCCATATAAAGTTCCTGGCTTTGGCCTGGCCCAGTCCTGTCAGTTGTGGCCGTTTGGGAAGTGAACCAGAGGTTGGAAGCTGTCTCTTCCATGTGAGTGGCAGGGACCCTGCTGCTTTCCCAGGGGTTTTAGCAAGGATCTGGACTGAAAATAGAGTAGCTGGAACCTGAACTAGGCATGCTAGCATTGTGGGCGCTAGGTTAACTAACTGTACTACAATGTCAGACCCCCAGGAAAGTTTTTACACCCAAACTTGGTAAGATTCATGTTTCTTTTAGTAAATAATGTGATTTTGATTGTAGAGACAAGCTGTAAAGTCATGGATTTTACCTTTTAAGAGAATTCACCTGTTCCCCTATTCTTTCCCTGTTCTATGATGCTGAATGTTTCAGCTTGTTGTTGATTTTAGCTTCAACTTATAAATCTGTTTTGCTGCGAGAGCCATCCTTTTCAATCCCTCTAGCATCCTCTTTTGCATGTCTAGAATATTGGGTTTTATACTTTGGCCAATAACCTAATTACTCAGTGAAATAAGGGAAGCAGATACAGTCTATTCCTAGAATAATGATAATTAATAACAGCAAACATTTATTGAATTAAAAAGCATGATGCTAATTCCTTAATGGCTAATATTATCTCATCTAATCTTCTCATCCTCCCAGTAATTCCAGGTATTGTCATTTCCATTTTATAGAAAAAGGAAAATGAGACTGCCACACCACGCAGCTGGTCTTGGATTAGTCAACTAGAAAACAGTAGAATCATGGTTCAAATCTATGTTTGTTTGATCCTAGATATTGCATACCTACTGCTCTGGCTATAAATTTTTTTTTTACAATTTATTTATTTACTTATTTTATTGCAAAGTCAGATATACAGAGAAGGAAAGACAGATCTTCCATTAGCTGGTTCACTCCCCAAGTGGCACAATGGCTGGAGCTAACCTGATCTGAAGCCAGGAGTCAGGAGTTTCTTCCAGGTCTCCGATGAGGTACAGGGTCCCAAGGCTTTGGGCCATTCTCCACTGCTTTCCCAGGCCACAAGCAGGGAACTGGATGGGACACAGATCAGCACCCATTTGGGATCCGGTGGGTACAAGGTGAGGATTTAGCTACTAGGCTACTGCTCCAGGCCTTGGTTGTAAGTTTTAAAACAGAAAAATATTCAGATCTACCGAATCTAAAACAACACATTAGTATTAGCAATTTCCTGTTGATAGATTGTCATAAACTGAATGCAGAACAGGACTTTGGCTGTTCTAGGTGGTCCAGAAAAGCCTTAGCTCATTATGCTGGTGACTTGGCAGGTCTCAGAAACTCAATGCATTCAATAAGTAAATGTGAAGTTTTTTCATCTCTCCTGCTTTGCTCTGGTGGGAGTTCCTGTGGAGATGTTAATGATGATAGCTGACAAGGATCGAAGCACAGAAAGCATAAGGGAGAATCTTCTGCAAGGAGAGTGGCTGATGGAGAGAAACCTCTTGGGGAATCTCCTCCGGAATGATTCAAAAGCATCCTCCCAATGGTGGTACAGTTTGAAGTGGGATACTGGCAGGGGAGCAAGGCGCTTCCCTAACTGCTGATGAGGATGAGAGAAAGGTTCAATTTGGCTGAGGCACCTGCACTTTCCTGCCCTATTACATGGAAACAGGAACCAGCTGGCTTCTCCACTGCCTTTTCCTCTCTTTCTTAGCAACATAAGAGGACTTAGCCCGAATTAAAGCCTTTCTTTTTTTTTTTTTGGCAGTGTACATA